CGGGAGCGAAGGCGTTCGTCCCTCCGGGTCCCGGCGGTTCCGCGGCCCGGGAGGCACGTTCGAGTGGGGAGTCGGAGGGGAGGGGGTCGGGCACCGCGGCGGCTGCCGCTGCCGCGCTCCGGCTCACAGGCGCCGAGCTGCCCGGTGGGAGAGCCCGCGGGAGGGAGGGGGCCCGCGTTCCGCTGCCGTTCTCGGCACTCCGAGGGTCAGCGGTGGGAGGACTTTCTTTGGGGACTTTTTGACTCGCACGGCTCGTGCAGCTCTTCCAGGGAGGCGGGAAAGCCACGGCCCGAGGAAACCCCCAACCACTCGTGGCTTCGGGCCGCGCGAAGGACGGGGAAGGGGACGCCCCTAGAGAGGCGGTGGGTATCTCTGGCCAGCTGCGTGCAGCAGGGAGGAGCAGAATCGCCGAGGGAGATAAACGTCCTGCAGGCCTTTGTTTCTTCAGAGATAATCTCCTTCGTTCTGGTAGCACGTTCTAGGAAGAATTCTGTACTTTCAAGGAGGCGTAGACATTGGGGCAAGGGGCATAGCTGTGCATGCTTGCTACCTCTTTTTCTAACCTGAGGCTCTTGTGGCCCTTTACAAAGGGAAGCGGCTACTTATACTCGTTTTACATGTAGGGAAAGTACAGTCCTGAGAAGAAAGTTAATTGCCCCAGGCTACACAGCTCATCAGTGGGAGAAAAGCTGAAACTCACCTGCGGTTGCTTGAGTCTGCTGCTGCTTGCATGTGTGGAATGATCCTCTGCTAGTGTAATTCTGGTTTGATTTTGCTTGCTTCGGCTTATGCTCATGCGAGAAGCTCCAGGCAGTGGGTGAATCTCCATAGAATCATAGAATCATTTAGGTTGGAAAAGAACTTCAAGATCATCAAGTCCAACCATGAACCATGCCCACTAAACCATGTCCTGAAGCTGGACTGGGGTCTGACTTGCAAGAGCTTATAACTATTTCACTGCCGTTATCTGACACATTCCCAAAAAGAAAGATGATGGAGGGCCAAAAGGATTTGATATTTGAAGAGTGTCAATTCTTACTCAAAGTTGAACTAAGGGCAAAAGCAGTGGATGGGCTTCCTTTCAGGAAGTCTATCTTAACCTTCTAACCCAACTCATCTTTAGCATGGGCCATTCTTATGCAAGGGAACGTTCTTCCCACCCTTTACTGCTTTAAGATCTGTTGCTTGTTGTGCACGCAGACCTAAGCTGCTACTTTTTTTTGTCCATAGAACCTCTAAATAGAGCTCTGATCTTACAGAGTATAAATAACTCATATTTGCCAGTAACTATAGATTTTTCCACTGTCACTGTGAAATCCTATTCGCTTCTCCCAGAACTTGCATAATTGGTAAAATTCACGCTCTTAGAAAAAGCAGAGGGTACTAAGTGTGTGGTACGACTTGTCGTCCTTTCATCACTGAGCAACAGGAGGATGGTTTTTGCTTACCTTTCTGCCTGCTTGCTGATGAGCGGGCATCTTTCAGCAGTCGTGTTCTGCAGAGGTGAAACCAAGCGGCTCAAAGGTAGGTAGATAGATGCTGTCTATGAATAAGGGTGCCGAGCTGGTATAGAGAAATGGAACTTCTGACTGGGGGACAGCTAATGACCTTAGTAACACAGCTGGAAGTAGGGCATGCGGATCCTGACATGTAGGCTTCTGCTCTAGTCGCTCTTCGTAACTCGATAAAGTCTTTGTTTGGCTTGTCAGTGCTTGGATTACAATGGCGCTGGACATGGGGAGATGTTATTCTGCCACTTAGTTGATAAAATAAGTTCTTCGGTGAAATGCTGTGGTCATGATAGGAGTTCACATGGTTGAAGAAGTTTGTACCTATGAGAGATTTTACTTGGGGCTACTTATTTCTAATGCTTTTGATTTAGAGAATGTAGCAGTCACGCATGCCTGACCGTTGAAGAATGGCAAAGTCCTCTCCAGGTACTGTATGGACGATGTGCTTTTTGTTTAGGGCTTTGTTTTCTGCTTCGTTGCAGCTGGCCCGGATTCAGACCGACAGCGTAGTTGAGATGCTCCGTGAGCTATACCCTGACCTCTGCTTTGAGATTGGTAAGCTTTTTTTGGATGCTGCCCTGGGGTAGACGGCAGCAGGAGCCAGCTGCTTATCTTTGTGTGCAAGAGGTGTGTGTAGGGTGCTGTCACGAGGAGGAGGATTCGACCCGCTTATCTAAGAGCACCGTCTGAATTCAGTTAGGTTGTGTGGCTGAGCAACTGCCGCTGGTTTCTTCTAGGGGAGAAAGATGGATTTCATAAGCTCCTGATGATTGAAGCTCTGAGTATGTCATGCAGATGGTGTTATGTTGCTCCATTTGAGAACCTGGTATCGCTCTGGCTGCACCCCACTGTACCTTAGGGACATTTTTCTGCCTGGGGCTTGAGGCGTTCAACAGGAGTAATGTGATCCCAGCCTTGCAGTGAAGAGAACTGCCGAGTACCTGTTTACTGGCACTGCAGAGAAAGACAGTGGCAGTTTCCGTTGGGCCAGCTCTTCCCTAAACCTGCCCTCTTTCCCCTTGTTCTCTTTTTGAGGACAGTGAAGAAAAGTCTCAATTTCACTTGAGCGCAGTGTATTTCTAGAAGCGAGCTGCTCTTATATTTACCTCGAGTCTGTGTTCATGCAGTAGCGTGTGATGCTGTACTGTTCGTTAGGTGTTATGTAGATATTTCCAGTCTAGGCCTAGGTGCTTTGATGGAGCCTCACATTTTACCTGTGCTCTCCCTCTGAGCAGTTGCCATGTCGACAACTGGAGACAAGATCTTGGATACAGCGCTTTCCAAGGTAAAGGATCTCTTCTTGCTCTATGCAATAAGTAATTGTATTTGATGGTACATTTACAGATGTTTCTTTTGTGATTCATGTTCCTCCATTCCTGCGTAGATTGGGGAGAAGAGCCTCTTCACCAAAGAGCTGGAAAACGCACTTGAAAGAAATGAGTAAGAGCTTGTTGTTTTCTCTCTCCCTCCTGTGGCATTAATGGTGCTCTTTGGACATCTTTGGCTTACTGCATGCTAGTTTCTAGTGATCTAGTTTCATTCTGTTCTGGTACCTCTCTGGCTAAGAAAGAAGTCCTTTGATAAGTCATTGTCTTTTTCTTTTTTTTCTTTCCCCTGTCTGCCCTGGGTTTAGGCCACGTATTTTGAAGTGGAGTAGTTGTGTCGCTTGGTCTGCCCCAGTTAGGTTTTTTTCTCCTGTAATTTGTGTGTTACATGTGCATCAGCGAAGATGTAATCTAATCAAATTCCTGTTTACAAGTACATTCTTTGAAAAATACTTTGCTTGGTGGACTTAACATATTGCGTAACATATTTAGTGTTATCACATTAACGTGTATTAACATATTGCCTGCTAATTATGCAGGAGAACTGGGCATGGGCAAGTTGTGCTGCTTTCTGGGTAACTTCTTTCTACAGAAACACTCGGTTCAGGCTCTGGCTGAGGCAGAGAGAGATTAGTGGGGCATTTTTCCATCTTTTTTTCTTTTTCAATATCCTGAGGAGGGTTTCAGTGGTGCTTGTGCCTTGGTTAAAGTAGGTTTAAAAACAAAGATATTCTTCTGCATCTCTGACACATAGGCACATGATACTGCATCTTCGAGTAAAGTTGGTGAAAAAATACTGGAGACTTGAGCGTTTATGATGATGTTCGTTTGCCTTGTAAAGAAGCAGATAGCTTTTACTTTGGCTAGCTATTATTTTCAGTTTGAAGCGTAATACCAGACAACGTACTGGTTGCATATTGATACGATGAGTCTCTCTGTGTGAACATCTCCAGCATCTTCCCTTCCTTCAACCTGATTGTTGTAATGTGTCTTGCATCGCTGCTGGGAGGAAGGCATTGTCTTAATTTTACAGGTGGGAAAAGAGAGACAGAGAAAGGTGAAGTGGCTTTTCTGGAATAACACTAGAATTGCGTAGTAATTCTGGCTCTAGAATCCTGAAATCCCTCCCTCTTCTCCACATTAATTCCCAGGGTGGATTCAACACTTTCCTGTAGATGACCTGCAGGCCTCTGGTAGGTACTGTGTGAGCTCAATCACCTGTTCAGTGACTACTGTCCTCTAATTTTTAGAGTTGACCTCGTGGTTCACTCCTTGAAGGACCTGCCAACTTCTCTTCCTCCTGGCTTTACCATCGGTGCTGTCTGCAAGTAAGTGTGGATGCAAGGCTCGATTCTCCAGGGGACTTGCATTTTACAGTGTTGGTAGTGGTAGGAAAGCAAAGTCAGCTTAGGGCCTTTTAGGTAGGTGTTCAAAGTTTGACCACCCTCTGATTAATCTCTGAAGCGGTAGAAGCACTAGAGCTGTCCCAGTGTTCCATAGCCAGCAGGTTTGCTGGCAATTGTTGCTTTTACAATGATGATGGGGTGTTTTGGAGCCAGAGGCAGTTCCTCTGGGGACCGATAGCAGCACTGTTAAACTTAACAGCCTTCTGTTAAATGATGTATCAGCTGTTTTGCACTTGCGTTGTTTTGCAGAAGGGAAAACCCACTCGATGCTGTTGTCTTTCATCCCAAAAACTGTGGGAAAACACTGAGCCTCCTTCCTGAAAAGAGGTGAGTGGGGAGAGGAAGGGGAAGACAGGTGTAAAAATGAAAGGGAGCAGTCAGTTGATACTTCCCAGCAGCAAGTTAATGAGCTCCTTGCTTTATCCTGTAGTGGTTTTACGCTGTGTTCCATTAGCTTTCCATAGACATTACACCGAACCTACTTGCTGAGAAGAGCAATGCTGTCTCATGGGAGTGCTGCACACTCAGTGAGGTTGGATCTCTCGAGCCACTCTTGAGTTGCAATGTTTTCTCAAGTTAGACCCTTTCTTATCACAGTCTCCAGAGTGAATTCCTGCTCCTTTGTATTGAGCTTACTGCAGGGGAATGCATACAATGGAGGCAGGGTGTCCGGTGCAGTATTTTAGCTTGCTTGGGCCTGAACTATGCTCTTGTTCTCACCCAGCTGGTTCCGATTTCTTCGTTGTTTTTTTGGCATTGCTTTCTTACGGTTCTGCTGAGAGCATGAGCAGTTTCTTCATTTTGAATTACCTGCCTTTTCATAGAGGTTATTGGAGTCTTTTGTCTGAGATAGCTGAGTGAAATTACTCAGATTAAGGTAACTATTAGATTATTTTTTTCCTGTTTTAAAGTAAAAGAAACAAACTAGCTGTGACACAAACATGGACTCATGCTTCTGTGTGTCTGGATATCAGGAAAATCGCATCTGGTTTAGGTTCCGGAGTACTGAGAAAAGTGAATAGCATACATCTCCAGAAGGGAAATACTGACTGCCCAGACTGGCAGTTTTCTGTGGTTTCCAGTTATGCATCCAACTGTTTCCAAAGGTCCTCCTCCCTCTGCCTTTCTACCATTGATGAAGTCCCTCCATTTTAGTAACTTCAGTCATCTGGCTATGTCTGGTTCAGTTTGGGGCAGCTGAGTCTTTATTTTTCTGTGACAAGTGTTGTGGTCTTTAAATGCAGTTTCATCAGTCCTTGACGGTGGCTAGGGGCAGCCCTCCAGAAGCATCTCCTGTAAATTGGTTCCTTGGGAGTGGCTTGCCTGCATCTAGCTTCAGCCAGGCTTTATAGTAAACCTCACAGAATGGTTTTCTTTCTTGTAAGGAGATACAAATCATTGGCAGGTTCTTGGATCTTCATTTCAATTAAAAAAAAAAAAAGTAATCATTTGTTTCCTTGCAAGTTCTGACATATCTCTGGCTGGAGGTAAGTGTAGGAATATTCTGGATTTCATTGATATTATTTTCCCCACAGCGTGATTGGAACCAGCTCACTTCGGAGAGCAGCCCAGCTCAAAAAGAAGTTCCCTCAGTTAGAATTCAGGGATATTGTATCCTTTCCTGGCAAAATGTGGGAGCTGGGTAAAGCTGCAAACAGAAAAATATAACTTAATGCGAAATTTAGATTCAGGGCTGATTTGTACCACCTGACTTACAAGAACAAACTGCTTCCTCAAAGGCTGCCCTCCACTAACCTATTCTGAGAGGGGTGTATAGTGTACCATAGCCCATTCTGTCCTCTACTTTCTCATGAGGCTGTAAAAAAGGGGCTAGCCTTAACCTAGCTGAGATTCGGTATGCAGATGAATTTTACGTTAAGGAATGTTTGTAAAACTGCTTGATGGGTTTGTTGTGGTAGTGTGCCCAAATGCCAATTGGTTCCCAATACCCCAGATGCGATTTGGGCCACTGGTTCCGATGTGGGCCAGTCAACTAGTGGTAAAAGGCACCGTTACTTTAGTCCTAGTAAAGTAGTTCTTTGCTATGCAAAAGGAGTTGGTGTCAAGTGTTAATAAGGTACTTAAATTACATGCATCTCTTTTGAGAGTCAGTGCTTGAATTAATCCATAATGGTCAGCAAAATTCTATTTAAAGAAACAATTGTCCATATTTAACACTTCTTTCAGGACGGTACTCTGATTCTCATTTGGAGGCTGTTGGATTCTGTACATTCTGTAAATGCACTCAAGTGAATGTTAAGTGGTTATAGGACTGTTTGCCTGCTGTTTCTATGCTTGCTTAATCACTTCTACAGAGAGGGAATTTAAATACCCGCTTAAAAAAGCTAGATGAGAAGGAAGACTTCAGTGCCATCATCCTGGCTGCTGCTGGGCTGAAGAGAATGGGCTGGGAGAATCGCATTGGCCAGGTGAGGCGCAGCAAATACCATTCTCTGCCAAACTGTCAACTGCTTGCCTTTCAGACCTTGCGGCTGTCCTGTCAAAGACAAGCATGCAGTCTGCTGAATCCATTGCCACGTTAGCTTGTGATTTGATGCGCTTCGGGGAGGATTTCTTGGTTTTTTTTTTTTTGGTGGTTGGTTTTTGTTTTTGTTTTCTTTACGCAGAAATCTATACTGTTCAGCTTTCCATGGTGCAGTAACAGTTTGTAATTTGATCATCTCCCAGCATTTCACAATACTTCTGTCTAGCAATGCAGCAATGTGCATGACTAAGATTTTTCTGATCAGCTAATTTACGAAGTGTTACAGTCCAGGTGAAGGAAAGTGCATTATCTCACTTTAGGGGTGGAAACACTGAGGCACGGGAAGGGGGAGGTGATAGTTCTTTGGTCAGGCACAAAATCAGGTGCGGTTAGAGGTGAGCATAAAATTGGGCTCTCACTTCCTGTATTCCAAATGGTGCAACTTGAGTTAACTCTGATTTTACTTTCTTCCAGCTCCTAAGCCCTGAAGATTGTCTGTATGCTGTTGGACAGGTGCGTTACAACTTTTGTATCTTAAGCCATACTGCGTATTGAAAGCCAGCAGCAGTACAGTCTGTCAGAGTAGTTAATTATGCTGAATACTTCTTGTGTGTTGGTTTGTTGGCCATTATGCTGTTCTAGGTACAGCTTGTGGGAAGAAAGGTAGTCAGCTGTTACCTGGTGTGGTGGGGGCTGGTTGCCACTAGTAATGGAAAAACGGTAAAGGTGTGTGTGTGGCACAACTACAGTGGGGTGATGCGGCAGATATGGGGCAGGCTCTGGGAGGGTCAGTGTTGCACTGTACCAAGATGATCGTGCAGAGCAACCACAGTGTCTTTGCCCTGTGACGCTCCCTCCTTCTCCCTTATGCACGGTGCCCGTAGGGTGGAGCTGAAACACCTGCCTTGGAGCACATTCTTAGTGCTCTTGTTTCCAGGCAGGCAAACCATTCCAGCCCATGCTGGCCATGCAGCTGAGTTTACAGTGTTGCAGAGTGGGTATCAAACTTGCTAAACCTGAGCTGGCAATACATTAGTGATTGCAAGTGATCAATCTGCAAGTTTAGTCTGAAATAGTGATTTTGATAAGGCGTTTGTCAGGTACTGTATGGTTCCCCTCCCCCCACTCCCCCGTCACATTTCCAGTTTTTTAGGAAAGAATTTTGTTGCTGTAACTCATTCAGCACTTCATCTTTATCTTGAGAAATGTTGGGAAGCTTGGATTTATCCAGGCTTCTCATCGTGAAGGGACACTGGGGTGCGTGTTTCTATATATGCAGTTATAACTGAGGTTCTAGAACGGTTTGAGGTGACAGCATGATCTTGAACACTTGGCTGAAGTAAGTTCTGATCTTCCCTTTACAGTAGCTGTTATAGGATTTTCTGCAACCAGTGGATCATTTTGTAATTTATTTCTATAAATGTCTAAACATTGCTCACTTATGAAATGCATCTAAGCCCCTAATTTGTGTTTCATGACCAATGCTGAGTGCACACAGAGATGCATGAAGTTGAGGAATTACTATGATTATTATGTTGTGTGTTTCTTATTCTTATAGGGTGCCTTAGCAGTGGAAGTTCGTGCCAAAGACCAAGAGATACTGAATATGGTATCTGCCCTGCATGATGCAGACACCGTGTTACGCTGCATTGCTGAGAGAGCCTTTATGAAACGTTTGGTAGGTGTGGTGTTCTTGCTCTTCCACCTGCAGCAGTAAATACTGCTCTGCTAGTTGACGTGATGCCATAGTATGGGAAATCTGTTACACTTTCCTAAGGCTGCAAAGTAGAGATTACTTCTGAATTGAGAAGGGCCTGAGGAGCGATAGGCGGGGTTGCATGCAGCCTAAACTTTTCAGAGGCCTCTGCTTTGAATGTGTCAAGTAGGAGCCTCGGTGTCAGCTGCTTTCTCTTTCAGGAGGGTGGATGTAGTGTCCCTGTCGCCGTCAACACCATGCTGAAAGATGGCCAGGTGAGGAGTACTTTGTATTTATCTGGAATTATTTCTGAAAAACCTATTCCAGTGCGTGCATGTTCCGTGATCCTACCCTGAAGGTAACTCCAGCAGGTACCTGTATAGCCAATTAGGGCAGGTTGGCTCCTGACCTGAGCCTTCTGGGTTTGTGTTCAAAGCAGGAGTACGAGAGTGGGTCTGGCTACTGAAGCTCAGTCTTCTAGAAAAATCCTTATTATAAGGACCAGATTTCCCCCCCCCTTCTTTAAAGGTAGCGTTGCCCTGAGATTGGAAAGTCTCGCTTCTGACCCCAGAAAAGCAGTGGTTTTACACAAGAGTGCAGTTAAGGAGGTGGGAGGCAAGAAAAGAGTTCAGCTTTCTTCTTGGGGAGTCGCATCTTCCCTAACAGGGATTATTTTTCTTAGTTTTATTGTACTGCTGTTCTTGCTGATCCCACTGCACTACAAAGGCCTTCCCTTCCAGACTTAGCTTCGTATGTCGTGTGGTTGGTTTTTTTGGTTTGCTTGGGTTTTTGGTTGTTTTTTGTTTGTTTGTTTTTAAAAAGGGGGTAGCTGGCTTTCTGTTTATTTGTTAACGTGGTATTAATCCCTTCTGTATGTCTTCCCAAGTTGTATTTGACAGGAGCAGTCTACAGTTTGGATGGATCCGATAGCCTGAAGGAGACTATGCAGACCAGCGTTAATTATCCCCAACAGGTACGTGAACCACAGTGGCTTCAAAATCCAAACCTGAAGCTGAATGACAAAACCAGACCTTTTGAAATCTATTACTTTTGGTCTGGTTCCTTGGAAACAGTAACAGCGCACTGTTCTCAAGGCTCCTCAGACCACAGATTTTACGCTGCTTCACATGTGGCTTACACTATCCATTGCCTGCTCCTTCCCGCTGCCTTATGTTGAGGTGTTTATATTTGCAGAATGAAGATGGACCAAATGACGACGTGCAGCATGTTGGCATCACAGCCAAGAATGTCCCTGGTCAGGCCCAGGAAGCTGCAGAGAACCTTGGTGTTGAACTAGCTAGTTTACTTCTGAGCAAGGGAGCTAAGCATATCCTTAGCGTGGCAAGGCAGCTCAACGATGCCCGCTAAACCTGTGGTGTGCTCTGCACGACTGCTAGAACTCTAGCAAGTCTTTGCAGCTATGCTGTCATCCTCCTTTGGAGGAAGAGATTTATTTAAATGCCCAGACTGGTCTTACCCGATGTTTGGGCACAAAAACTTGAAATACTAAGTTAACTAACTTGAGTAGTTTACGCTGTTCAGGGTTTTCATCCCTCTCTGCATTTCTCTAAATTGCGAAGTGTCTCTGTGAAGGTTTTTCAACAATTTTCGTAGCTAGGAAGGTTAAAAAAATAATAATTAACCCCTCCCCCCCCAATCTCTAAGTGTTCTATTCTGTTTAGGAACAAGGCACTCATGACAGATTATCATCAGAGACTCAGCTAGGATGGTACTGAAGTGCTGTACTGTGCTGACAGTACCAAAGTACTTTCAGTAGTCATTAATATTATTTGGGCCTGTTCACTCATCAGAACGCTGAAGAGGAAGACTGCTGTTAGGTTCCCAATACCGGGTTCCTCATAGTCAAGTAGCACAGATGCCATGTTTGCAGGGCTCAGTTAAGGTAAAGAATTAAGTTTGCAGTTACCAGATGCAAATTTGTCAGTTGGCCAGTAATAAATTAGGAAGTACGCGTAAAGCCAGTCTGGTTTCCCTTGTACGCCTGCCTACGAGGGTAGTTAGTCTGAGACAGTCATTCACCTACACTAACCTGTCAGCCAGGAGCTGAAGAGGAAGCCCCGATTTGGGCTATCGTGCCTTTCTCTGTAACTGCTAGCCCCTTCCTTTTACTGAGGCTCCTTGCACTCGCTACGGGGTCGCCAGCCTCTCGGCAGGGCCCATGCGTTACAGTGCCTTGTAGAAACACTGAAACGGCACCTTGCCGGGGTCCCGTTTTGGAAACGAAGCATCGTTTATTCTCTATGCAACGTCCACTGAATGTAACAGACGATAAATACAGCCGAATGACAAGCACCCCGGTGTAAGTCTAAGTCTTTACGGCGGAGCGGCTCTTCTGTTCGCAGTTCTTCTGACGGGGCTTGCGCGGGCACGTTCCTCACCGCCGCTTCAGAGCCGGCGCGCCGGGGCCCCGCAGCGCCGCC